AGAGAGAGAGAGAGAGAGACGCCCACAACGATCGCTGGGTCAGCCGTAATGCCACGTCAGCCAGAATGACGTCGTTCTCGCGACGACGAGAAAAGGAGGCTCGTGCGATCTGACGGTACTCCAATTCTCCACGCGCGACACATTGCTCGAGAGAGAAAAAGAGATCCACGCGAGGGGACGAACGATATCGTCAGTGAAAACAAAAAAAAAACGAAAAGATCGAAAAGGTATCCCGTCTTCGATGAGAGGGCGCGAGAAAGGGAGGAGACCGAGGGTAGAAAAACCAGCCGAGAAAAGTGCACAATATATCCGCGCGTTTATTCAGTTTGTAAGAGAAAAGACTTTTGAGGAAAGCTTGCCTGTCTCTTAAATGTTTTCGAGTCCGAACCTGTCGATAATATTCGCGAAAGTCTTTGTGAAAAAAAGATGAAAATGTAACAAATTAAGCGACCCCTCCCCCCCGTAGAGACAGAGCAAAGAGAAGAGAAAACGTATAAGTCTTTGGTGACACAAAATATCGTTTTTGAGAGAGAGAGAGAGAGAGAGAGAGAGAGAGAGAGAGAGAGAGAGAGAGAGAGAGAGAAAAGGGAGAAAGAAAGACAAAATAGTTTCTTTTCCAGTTCCATATGTGGAGCGCTTATTAAGCTCTCCCAAATGCTAGCATTCGGTCGACGCGATTATTCCGTCAGAGCAAAGACCTGTCGAGTGTGGTCGGGCAAATTGATCGTATGATCCGCCGTCTCGGCCGATCGGACGGCCGCAGTGCTGATATAGGAAATTCGGTACTTCACTCCGGGGTACCATCGAGAGCGCATACGCACAAAAGCGAAAATGGCAGTAGAGAGTGTTTCCGCGGCTGAGACTCTGATCCAAAGGTTTGCCACCTAAACTATATACTATCGTACTCTTCCGCGCGCTAGATATTCTCATTTAATAATTCGACCGCTGAATGTGGAGTACATACAGAGGCGAAGGAAAATTTCTCGCGAGTGACATTGTAATCATCATTCACGCACACCTGTACATACACACATACTTGCATACCTACCTACAAATTCACGTATCTCTCTTAATTCTTCCGCCCCTCCATCACCCCCCTAGTGACGCATTCCCTCTCTTCTATTTTCGTTCCGCCAGAGCGCGACGAAAAAAGAGCGATATCGTTCGATTTCGACGCATCTCACGTTTCTTCATTCGTAAAATATGCTTCGCATCGTTACAATCTTATAGCTTTTCTCTCGATTAAAAAAACGGCATCTGCAGATCTATTCTTGAATATATGTTTCATACGAAAAAGTCTACAATATACTCTTTAAATTCTTTGAAGTCAAATTTCACTCTAAAGAATAAAAATTGAGCCAGTCTTGAAAAAGAATGATTCAATTTTCAATCTTTAAAAATAAGATTTCACATTCTTTAAAGTGACAATTCACTCTAAAACATTTAGAGAGTATAATATAATGTATACTGTAGGATTTTCGTATGCGATATTTTTCAGGAACAAGGCCTCTGTCCGCTCCATTTTCTCTCTCGGGACACGACGAATCGATTTCAAGCGAGGAAGCAGGGTGGACAGAGGGGGTCAAGGCCGTTCCTGCAATCCTCGTTGAAATGACGTCGTGATTATTCTCGATAGTCGATTGCGATCCCGCGGGTGTCCCGGCGGATTATTTTCAGAATTGGGTCGGGGTGCAGTTCTGGCGAGAGAGAGAGAGAGAGAGAGAGGAGATATACGAGAGAATCGCATCGCAACTCCGACTCGTTTTTATTTATAGAATACATCGGCGATTATAAAACGCAGAATATTTTAACTCATTCAGATCCTGAGGTCGTAAATATGCGCGGCAATTTATCAATGTAAAAAAAAAAGTAGGATAAATATTCTAGATAAATATCCTAAATCTTCGATCGGCAAGTAAATGCGCACAATTTTTCGTAGTAGAAATTATTTAATTAATACGAAACTGAGTAAGAACTACTTCAAATTCGCGAATAATGCTCGTTTCTACCAATGTAGTTAAATTTGAATTTCAGTTCAATTAACTCTTTATCTTTTTTTTAATTGTAAGAATTAGAAAATAGTAAAGAATAAGTTGAATCGAGATTAAAGTTAAACTACATAGAAATGAGCATAAATCCAAATCGGAGACGGTAAACGCTTCGAAATTATGGTTTGATCGTTTCCGGGTCACTTCCGGTCGACCGCTTAGGTTCTTCAACTTTTCTTTCCTCTTTACAAAAGATCGATTACACTCGCGCATATAAATACGGCGGTATAAGTAGGATGAAATGTATACAGAGAAACCTATTAATTTTTCCTCCTACGATACATATCAGGTGTCTCGGATGCATCGCATTTTAGGTTTTGATGAATTTTCTATAATTTTTCTGATTAAATCAAGTCTTATTTCTTAGTAAAAATGTGGGACCAATCTGATTATGAATATTAAAACCGCATAGTAAAAGATAATTTAGTTCAAAGACGCGTTCTATAAATTAATGTTTAGAATTTCATAAAAAGAACGATTTTGCCCAAGTATCTAAAAATTTAGCTAGATACAAATCTGAAAATAATTTTATAGGAAAGAAATTATATCATCGAAATAATTATGTAGTAGGAAACTCAAGCATAGTGAGCAATGCTGCAAAAGTTTTGATATTCTAGCAATCAGTTTAGTGTCCTACATAATTATTTTGATGGTCCAACAAGATTATGTTTTCGGATCTAGCTAAATTTTGAGATATTTTTTGCAAAACCATCCTTTCCGTTATTACATGAGCGATCTTTATTTCAAAAGAATTTCGCTTTATCGTTTTACGAGGATTCCAAAATGAATTTAATCAAGGCAAGGGGTCAATTGTGCAAAATTAAAGAAAGAGAAAAAGGCCTTGTTCGTTCTATGGAAAAAGTCATCTCAGAATTTACAAGTGAAGAGCGATAGATCCGAGTCACTCCATACACATACTCTTCCAAGCCAGAACAATCGAACGCGCTCGTCCAAAGACCTTTAGTTTTTACCCTCTTATTAACACACACGAGACACGCACATACGCAGGTACGCACGCAACGCTCAGCAGGCAGAAAGAGATAGAAACACAGAGAAACTCTTCAATGAACGAGAATCGACACGCGAAGAGCTTTTGGGCGTAATATCTCCTTTGGCATCATCCGCTTTAATGTCACCCTTAAATCAACAATATTGCAACGACGACAATGTTTAGAATGTGGTGGTTCCTTCGATGTTACGTCATTATAACTATATGATTATGACGATTAGTCATAATAGTAATGATGATCATGATGATGACACAATAATGATCTGATGATAATGCAGATGATAATGATGATGAATTGATGATAAACCGATGAAAGCGGTAAGGTAACTCCAATCTTTTATTTCCGTTTGGTAATCGCGCTCCCTCGCGACGACCTGTACATTAATTTGGTAATCAATCGATGAAATAGATTTTTAAAAGTAGAAGCGAATTTAATGTTCCATTTCTATCAATGTAGAATAACTTTAATCTCAGTTTTATTTACTCTTTATGTCCTTTTCTTACAACTATAGAGAAAAATGAAAAGTAAGTTAAATCAAGATTAAACTTGTATACACAAAATTAAACTTATATACATTGGTAGAAATGGGCTTAAAAAAAAAGGATGTCCGGAGACGATGGAATCCCCGATGGGTTCGACCTTCGGAAGACATGCGGAAAAGACCTTGTACCAATTGATAACCGCAAGTGGACTATTCATAAACATTTTCGTGTATTTTTCGGATTATCCAATTTCCAAATTCAAACAGCGGATTCTTCCGCCGCTGCGCCGTTCTTTATGATATTTCGAGGAACGCGTGTTCGTTCCCTCACTAGTTATACCTATAGCGAATTGTTTTTTCCTTTTTACCTTCGCAGAGTCAATTACGTAACCTTTTCTCTACAGTAAAAACGGAAGAATATTTTTACGTATGTATGTACATATACACATATAAGGAAAAAATTACGTGATTGAAGGGAGAGAAACCTCGGTATGTTCGGTTTCCTTTTGTGTTTGCGGAAAAATCTACGGGATCTTGTCGAGTTATTAGGGAGTTTTTGCAATAACGTGAATTCAGATACGGTGAACGCTAAAGTTATCCTTTTCTCAATTAATTGTTAAGAATAAGATAACCTGACCTTATAGCGTTTACCGTATCTGGATAAACGGTGTATTGCAAAAACTCCCTATTATTGCTTACCTAGGCCGCGTTCAGAAGGTTCAAAAGTTTCACTCGAGTGCATCCAGGAATCATTTAGCCTTGCTCATCGAATGTTAAACAAGGATAAAATGATACCGGAGTGTATCCAATTTATGAAATTTCTGACGCAGCCCTATAGGGTGCGTTTTCTACCCAGTCGATCTGCAACCGCAATATCTATTTCCGAACTTCAATTTCGGTTTAACTTTTCTAATTATAATTCTTAGAAAATGGAAAACGCCTTAAAGGGTATCTATAAAATTTGAAGAATTTTTTCGTAATAGAAAACCAAACGTGTCGAAGTCTCGTCCTTCAGATCCTTATACGAAAGGTGAAAAGGTAAAGCAATGGCTGCGGTTTAATAGCACAGAAAACTAATCAGCGCTTAGTGATTATTTAATATAAGATTGTGTGTGTGTGATGCTTAGATCCAGTGAAGAACCAAAGGCAAGAATCAATAAGCGCTAACGCATTTTTTTCTGTTGAACGCAGCCAATGGAAAAAGCAATTTTGCAATTGTTATAAAAGTCTTTAATATAATTGGTCTTACCTTTAATTCCTTACCGGATCTAAATGTATAAACCAATCATATTAAAGAATTATACAAAAATTTCAAAGCTGTTTTTTCTGCTAAAGGCAATTTGCTAAACTAGCGCGATTGAACAAAAAGCACAGATAGCACAGTGAATCATTTCATCGTTTCTTTATTCAACATTGGCAAACAAGGATGTAATGATTCATATGCTCTTATTGGAAAAAACAATCATTATTTCTTATTAGCGAACTATATTGATCGAAAACTCCCGCGAAAATTAGATTCATAGATATCGAATTGTTTCGTTTCTCCTTTCATGTATCTATAGACGGGTAGAGTGTATATGTTCGTGTTTACGCAGAACCGTGATTCTCAGCCAACGTCTTTGGTAACCGCACGCGCGCACCTGCTCGTTTTCTCATCGGATCTCGTCCATCGATCGGTCGCTACGTCATCCGAGTGTGCAACCCCTGTTTCGCGCCATAATGCCGTCCCCTTCCTGGTGTTCGCCTTTTACGCAGTACGAATCGATGTTTTCGGCACGGCCAGTAGCTAACTAGCTAGCTAGCTACGGTGCCGCCACGTTACAGCCCGTGCAATCCGGATTTTCCCCCCCACGGGAGAGAGTGTCTCCTTCGCGCTACGTATATAGTCTGTCGACCTGTTCAATGACTGCTTGCGCTATCAATTTGACCTTGGCGACATTCGCGAGTCCGTCTTCATGAATTCGCCTCGGCCGCCTCGGCGTCATTTTTAGCTCGCCGCGGCGCACGCAGGCACGCAGGCACGCACGCACGCACGAAACGCACGCACACGCTACAACAATCACCACCACCACCACCACCACCACCATCATCACCACCACCATCACCATCACCATCACCATACACTCGTGATATATTCCGAGACAGGCTATTATGATTTGCGATGAGGTGATAACATAAATCGAGAGATGCGCTTTCTTGTAGAAATTTATGAGCACAGTCATTTCCATTGAGAAATGTTCGCGTGCGATCTGTCAGACTATAACACCGATTGATTTTCGGAATGATCGAGAAATGCGTTTCGTCAATGTGTTTCGATGTACACAACGTCGAAATGTATTCTGAGAAGCAAACATCATCAGATCTTGCTCATCTTGGTCTCTTATAAACAGTAGTACATGAACGATCCACTAACGAATGAAAATTAAAACGAAAATGTATATCTTATTAAAGATTTTGCATATACGCGTTACTTAATAATTTCGTGCACGAAGGAAAGTCACAATTGTATCGTATACATATATTGCAAAGCATATATAGTTCAGTAATTTGTTGTTTTACATATATATTTCATTGTTTTATATATATATATATATATATACATATTCCATTTTATTATACAACAAAGGATAATATTCCTCAGAAACGCTAAAAATAGAAACTCTGCAATTGTCATCGTTGCAACTATTGAATTAGGACATCTTGTCCTAATCAAGGAGTTTATAACTATTAATTATACATAATTTAATTATTACTCTTCATATATTGAATTTAAAAAATTTGTATATAAATACTTCTTAGCTAAACAAATATGATACATAAGAAGTAAACAGTTGTTACTAAGCGATAGATAATACTTGAAGAGTAATTTACGAATCTCAAGGGCAACTTACAAAGTATCTGTGTGTTGCAGATCTTTTATATAATTCTCATAATATTCTTTTTTTTTTTAATGTGCAGCAACAACGATAACGATTTAGAAGATGGAGAAATTCCATCAGACGAAGATGATGAACCAATTATCTGTGCAACAATTGAGGCACCAGTGGAGGTTGCCAAACCAACATCAAAGCCAGATACTGCAAAAAATAAAAATTTTGATGCAAAGTTCAACAAGAACAAAAAATCGCAAGCTGCACAAGCAGCTGGTAAGCATGACCGATTTTTGAAATATAAGGGACTGACTGAAGACTGGGCTGGAGATGTCGAAAAAGCTATTAAAGCTGCGATGGAAGAGGATGGAGGAAAGAATCAAGAATCCAAGCCAAAAAGTAAAAACAACAGAAATAAAGTTAGGAAAAGAATGCGCGATGAGAGGGAAGAGGATCGTGGTAAAGATCAGAAGGTATGTAAAATTCACAATCACAGATTTCATTTATATAGATGTACCAAATATTTTTTCTATATTAAGTGTGCTTTTGAAAACCATAAGTTGTCTTCGTTTTATGATTCAATTTTTATGCTTTTGTATGATACAGAAACGAAAATTAAGCGAGGATGAAAACACAATTGAGGATGAAGACGAAATGTTGTTTGTACGGGGAGCTTCTCCCATCAGGAAGGATTCTCAAGAAAATAATTCTCCCAGGCGCACGAATGAGCATGAAAGTTTTGACAACAATTCGGATTATGAGGAAAGATCCAACATAAATCGACATAGAGAAAATGACAGCAAACGCGGTACTGGACGTGGAGGAGGTGGAGGAGGAGGAGGAGGAGGAGGAGGAG